AATCAAAAACATTAACCTTCCCTCCCCCTCCACACGACATCTGTTCTCTGACAGGCCGGGAGGGCTTTATATCCTCCAAAACTTCTACTCACACTAGTATTGCTTCTCTAGTCATCTCTAATAATACATTCGGCTTGAAATGTGCTAAAACGACAAGTGTTGATTTAATGCCGCAGTGACTTCACAAGCTCTCGGTTTCAGCCTTATATCTGGCACGCAATGAATGCGATATAAATCACTACACATTCCCATCATTACCACCATACACTATTGAAGAACATACAAGTTAGTCAGTCTAATCGGAATAGTTTAGCTGTGGTCAGTAGTAGGGCTGCACAATTAATTGAATTTGTAATCGCGATTACAATTATGGACGCCACAACTATGTAATCGTTCAAAGGCACAATTATAAAAAGTCCACTTACATTATTCTGTGTACTTAAAATGTTTTTTTACAGCTTATCTTAAGGGTTTTTTCCCCATTGTTTTAATTTTAGTTAGTGTAACATTATATTTATAATTAGCATTAAAACAACACTATCTAACATTGTTTACTTAAAATATTGTTTCCAAAATCTTATCAGTGGTTCATCAAGTCGTAACGGGGTGAAAGGCACTCCTGCCGTCACCTGACGGGGTCTGTATCACTTTTACTGGCACTATGCAACTTCGGGGTTCGGGTAGAAACCCGACCACAAAAAGAACTACAAAATTCGACTGCTTTACATCAAGCACTACAATACTCATTATTTCGTTTTTCTTCGTTTCTGATGTCGCAATACATCATCCTTTCAAGAAATCATGTAACATACTCTACTTTGTCTGTGGACATCGTTCATTCTAAAGCCGGTGCTGGATAAACAGCGAGCGTGCGTGCGACGGTAGGCTAAATTATTTACGACAGCGGCAATGGACAATTTCGTTTCCAACCAGTAGGGCGACCGAAGAGGAAAAGTTACTTGGTGTTACTTTAAACATAGAAAAGCATTGAACATTTTTCAGGAGTTTTCAGCCGTTTTATTTGCATGCTGTCACTTTGAACAATGGCATAAAGCTGTTCAAAACATCGTTCAATGTAAATCGTGATAATCGTAATTAATAATCGACAATTATGATTTTTGTCATAATCGTGCAGCCCTAGTCAATAGATGCTGGAAACTCAACACAAAAATGTATATAAAATATACATTATATATATACAATATGTGAAGAGCTACCCAAAAGCTAGTGAGGGTGGGTGCTGGAAAAGTACTTCAGAGTTTCTGCGTAACTGCACAACCAAAAAGTTTCAATGTAGACATAACCCACTTAGAAATCCGGTTTTGTGGTCTTGGGAATTCTCGGCTTAGATGTGGTGTTTTGAACAGGCAATCTTCTTGCTGTTCAGACAGATTTATAAAACTGTATTTGGCACATGTATTTCTTGATTTTTGTTTATCATATAAATAAATAATGCAAAGGTTTTCACCTATGCTTTCTTCCTCTCTCTTTCACAGCGTCTGCTTTGATATCTTCCTCTTTCAGTCGCGTTTCAGATATAGCATTTTGTATAGTCTCTTGGTGCCATCGAGACTGACTTATGACACCTCGCTGAGCCGAGACTCAGCGGGCTTTAGGAAAGAGTGATGCAGAAGTTGCTGTGTCTGGCTGAAGTTGAACAATACAGATGCAAGGCCAACAAACCGAGTTTAGAAGGCCTTTTCCCTCACACAAACACACAACAGCCTCGTTCATATTTGCAGAACACACACTAGGCTATTCATCTGGCTCTCTCTCCCCATCACCCTTTACTTGGCAACACACAGAACAATCGCTGAGGACAGCAAGAGCAATGGGCTGATAGTCACGTGACGCCATGTAGACACAATACAGAAAGCATGTTTGTGCATGCTTATGGATCAAGGATTGTGTTGCGACAAGATCATTCTGAGAACGATCTATTAAAACTAGCATGAGAGACTTTACACGACGTCCAAGGACCAAAAGTCATTTTGAACAAAAATTCAGGCAAATATGTGACCCTGGACCACAAAAGCAGTGAGATTTATTCATAAATACATAAATAAGATTTCCATTGATGTATGGTTTGTTAGGATAACACAATATTTGGCCGAGATACAACTATTTGAAATTGTGAATCTGAGGGTGCAAAAAAATAGAGAAAATCGCCTTTAAAGGTTTGCATTTCTGTTTGTGATTGTGCTGCATCCACTTACAGAAATAAAATGTTGATATATTTAAGGTAGGAAATTCACTAAATATCTTCATGGATCATGATCTTTGCTTAATATCCTAATGATTTTTGGCATAAAAGAAAAATCAATAATTTTGACCTATTCAGTGTTTTATCGCCACAATTATACCCGTTGACTTAAAGGAATTACTTTTAAAAAAAAAAACTTTTGCTGATAATTTACTCACCCCCATGTCATCCAAGATGTCCATGTCTTTCTTTCTGCAGACGAAAAGAAATTAAGGTTTTTGATGATAACATTGCAGGATTTTTCTCCATTTAATGGATTTTTTTTTTTTGACGAATCTTTTTGAGTCATTTGGTTCATTCAATGAATGAAATGACTCGAAAGATTCGTTCATTTTGATGAACGGGAGAGTCACGAACGCGCATCAGAGAACAGAGCAAGGCGAGCATTTGTGCTTATAAAACTTTAAGTTTTGTATTTATTGTTTTGTATTTATATTTATTCATCTACTGGTGTCGTTTAAAGCCCTTTGAAGCTGCACTGAAACTCTCATTTGGACCTTGAACCATTTGGTTCCCATTGAAGTCCATTATAGAATGTTTTCATCAAAAACCTTAATTTCTTTTCGACTGACGAAAGAAAGACATGGACATCTTGGATGACATGGGGGTGAGTAAATTATCAGCAAAACTTTTTTTAAAAGTGAACTACTCCTTTACTCCTTAACTACTTTGGACAAACCCATTATTTGGGTTAACTGCATTTTTTAATCCAGCATTTGGATTTGTCCATATTTGACCCAAAATTGGGTTAAAACAACCCAGCATTTTTTAGAGCGTAACGGCAAAGATGTTTCAAACCTTTTTTTACCCCTACGACTCAAAACAACCCAACTTCAACTTTCAACTGTACATTTTTTAATTGCATTTTTAACCCAACATTTGGGTTGGTCCATATTTGACCCAACTTTGGGTTCAAACAACCTAGCAAATTTAGAGTGAAGAACAAAGAACTTTGCTGTTAGTTTTTCAAGGCGGCATTAGTCACCCAAACTGAATGGGAGATACAAAAATAATTAATAAACACTAGACAAAACGCAAAACTCTGCACCTCAATTAATCTTAATGCATCTTTATATAAGCATTTCTCTCTCTATACATGTCCTGCTCACCCTCATCCTGATGCAGGAGGACAAACAAAAGAAGGTGACGGAGGGAGGGAATTCACACAAATGGAAATTTTGCAGTGGTGACTCTCTTTCACGCAATAATGCTTCTCCCAGAGGGCCTGAAGTGTTCGCCACATTGGTGACATTCAAGCCCAAGCTCAAATGGAGCACCGTGTGAGTCCGCTAGAGACATCAAGGGCCTCAAACACCAGGCATTACACACATCCAGATCACACATGTGCAGGAGTATTAACCAATATTCTCTCAGTGAGCAAACACAGTCGGCATCTGTGATCCGTTTTGTGTTATCCCCTCTTTATCGACAACTAAACTGAACATTTTTACTTCAAATGACTTTTGGGTAACGATCTGCATCGATGTGTAAGTTAATCACACTATAATGGAATAATTCAGACTGTAGACACAACAAACGCTTGGAGAGTGTATCGGCTACACAAAGCCATAGTTGAAGAATACTGATCACGAGCCATATTAATATGGTTTTGTTGTAAAAATGTTGTAATTCTCCATAAGCTTTAACTTTGAAGCTGCTATGTTTTTGCTAACATGTATCAACAAAGACTAAAACTAAGGAAATTAATTAATGTTATTGAAAATGTAACATTTGTTGCAGGTAATTTCAACATTTCCCATCCACAAAACAATCAACAGCATGCTTTTATAACAGAGGTATGATGTTGAGTCATTATAGATGTAGGACAAAGCGTGAAAGTCTCTACTTTATTTCTCTCAATGGATATGGAACTGATACTTAACCTTTTACCTCACATCACCAAGAACTTGAAAGAGAAAAAATTAATAAAGAGATTAGCATAGTATCAAAATAGGTCATGTGGTGCGTTTAATCTTCTTGCTCTCTCAAATAATCGCACAAACTATTATCACTCTATTACTATTATCTACTTCCCATTTGTTTTTTTGTTTTTTTTACCAAATAATAACTTTCTACGAATGTTCATTTAGGGGTTTTGTTTTGGTCAGAAACATTCCTAGAACATTGCAGGGTGTTTCTTTTAAAGCCTAAAAAATAACTTCTAGGCTACAGAACGTTCCTTCGTGGTTATTTTAATGCTTATCATTAAACGTGGCATGTGTTTTTGTGTAATGACATATACAGAGCTCTGAAATAAGTTTAATACCGCGTTTATGTTGAAATGAGATCAATAAAAACGCGTTATAACGACTATTTAAATCCAACTTTATAGCTAAAATGTTAAGCCAGGCACGTAAATAAAGAACAGTAAAGATATATCGGAGTCGCTACAAAGGTTTGGGGAACGTTAAAGCAACGTTAAATTAACGTTAGAGTAACGTTCTACAAACCAAATACGAACGTTCCGTTTCCGTTAAGAAAACTTTCCTGGCTAAACAAAAACAAACCTTAAAAGAATGTTCTGAGATGCAAACACTGACGTTCTGGGAACTAGAATTTGCTGCCAAATGCTTGATCGATTGTTTTCAGTCTTGTCTGTATAAAAACACAATTGTTTTCTTGCTGTGGAATTACATCTGTATTTAAGCCCTGGTCAGCCTCCAACACCTTACCCTTATCGACAGCATCTCATAGCAAGCGGTTCTGAACAATGGCAGCGGCCGTTCCCGAGTCTCACCTGTGAGGCTGTCGTAGCACTCGATCTCGGTGCTCTCCACCGTTCTCCTCTGCTCTTCTGTCAGCTTGGCAGCGGCTTGGTTGAGGAGGTTCACCTCGGATCCGGTGGTCCCGTCGACGAGATGGACCCCTTTCAGTTGCAGCAGTGCCCTGTGATATTTCCCAATAGCTTCCCGGAATTTCTTCTCCTTGTAGCATCGGTGACCCTCCACTTTGAAGTCGATCGCTTTCTGTATGTTCGCCTCCATCTCCATCTCCGCGCCGCCGACGCGATACCCTCCGCCGCCGTCCCCACCCGCCGCCGCCGCCAGACTGCGGCCCCCAGCCTCCGGGTAGCTCTTCAGGCTCTTGATCGAGTGCTGCTTCGCTTCCATCTCGCTCAGGAAGCCATGCTGGTCCGACACGGGTGCCTGTGTTCGCTTTAAGGGCTGGAGCAGCGTGCTGTGCATAAAGGATGCGAGCCAAACGAGCGGCGAAAAACACAGGCGCGACCGGAAAAACAACACTAAAGATTCCCGGCTGTAAAACGTGTAAAAGAGACAAAGCACGTAAACAAATAGATGACGGGTGTCTCTGGTAACGTGGAGGAGATGCTGAAGGAGGAGGAGGAGGACGACTCGTGCCTCCGGCCACAGCAGCTTCAGCACCACAGACAGCGACAACGACTAGAGCGAGGCATTATGGGAAGGAATTAATCGTGGGGAGATGATGATGATGGTGCTACTGTGGATCACGATTACATTAAAGAGCAGCGGGAAATAAATAAATCGTAAAGCTAAATATGAATTTAAAAAAAGCAAAGCCTGCCCATCTTTACGTCATTATCGTTTAAAAGCAAAAGCGAGGCAATCCAGATTATCTGGTAACCGTATTTTAGAACATGGTGGTTGACCAAACATGTAATTATACATGTTTTATATATATATATATATATATTAGGGCTGTTTATTATATAGTAGTCACGTTTATTATATTATATATTAAGGCTGTCAAACGATTAATCGCATCCAAAATAAAAGTTTGTGTTTACATAATATATGTGGGTGCACTGTGTATAATTATTTTATATATACATATATATAAATACACACATGCTTGTATATATTTAAGAAATATTTTCATGTATATACTGTATATAGATTTATATATAATTTATATTATATAGCTACAAATATTTTATATATAAATATTTTTTTTCTTAAATATACATGCATGTGTGTGTGTATATATATATATATATATATACACTGCACCCACATATATTATGTAAACACAAACTTTTATTTTGGATGCGATTAATCGTTTGACAGCCCTAATATATAGCCCTTATATATATCAGCGTCACCCACGTTAAGATGGTATACCAGCTGTTTTTTTGCTGGTTTATAGTTTGCACCAGCTTAGACCATTATAGAGAAGAAGAAGAAAAAAACCCCGGTTCATGAGGCATGTATAATGTGCCCTTAAATTGTCTTCCAGATCAGAGTGGAGTTAATCTCCCTGAGAGTTGGAATGATTCATTTTCCTGGCGAAACACCCAAGTCTGCTGAAGCTGGAGAGATAATTTACTAATACACATCTAGAGCGGAATTGTTGTGTATCCAAAAGATACTATTACTTTGCTTTAATCTATAACTAACAACATAAAAATACAAGTTAATCTTTAATACATTGTAATTAATAACAGCCAAAATGAAAACACTGAGTCAGCATTGAGAGCCAAATGTTGAACAGTGATGAACTGCTGAATAGAGACACAAGGGCTTGTGTAGATCTCACCATCTGCCATTTACTAGAGCATGCATTAAACACACTTCAGCGCAATGCTTTTTTGCAAGCATATCAGTTTCGACTCATCTATAAAAAAAATGTTTTGTCATTATCTCTAGTGACATTATCAAACCAATTATGCAGTAAACTTCTTAAAGGGACAGTTCCCCAAAAAATGTAAATTCTGTCATTAAATACTCACCCTCATATCGTTAAATTTCCAAAACATTTCATTTGTGTTCTGAAGATGAACACGAGGTGTTTGTAAGGATATAAGGACGAGTATTTAAATTGAAATATCCCTTTAACCGCTTTCAAACGTATTTGCGGTGATCAGTTTCTTCAATTGTGAAATGCACTCAAATTCAGAAAGGATTATAATGTCGGCCCTTCAAACCACCAATACACAACAATAAACATGATGTAACTATAATGTGCTCTAAAACCCACTTCAATTTATATATGAATGCATTTCACAAGACATTTGAAAAGTAAAAGAAACGATTCAAGATTTTTTTTCAGTTTTATCTTTTTATATTCAATCCATTCAAAAAAACAAATAATCTTAATATTTTATAAACTTACCCAGTTAAAATGTTTTCTCAGCTATTATTCCTTAAACAATCTAACTTAAATTCTGCATTTGAGATGCTTCGAATTAAAATATTTATAAAAACAGAAGAAACATGACATAAAACACAGGAAGTGAAGGTAGAACAGGATGACAAGTGGATAACGTAGAAAGCAGTGTAAAGGGGTGAAGACGTACACAATGCACAAGGGTCCACCTCCACGTGTGTTGCTTGGCAACAGCATGCTATTACAAATGCTGTATTTGCTCTGCTTGTCCAAGTAACATTTAACATCACAAATTTCCATTGGGTGGCATTTCAATTGAGGAAATTCGACACTGACTGTGTAATTTCAAGCAAAGTAACAGTTGTGGTCATAAAGGGGCGGTCACGTGACACTTAAATTCTTATCATATGCATGCGAAGGTGGGAGAAGTTTTACATTTTGTCACACGGCGTTCAAAAGCCCAACTTTGAGGAACATGATACTTTGAATCACATGCATGAACATCTATGCATCACATGATAAATATTGAATTTTCCTTTTTTTTAAAGTCCAGTGTGACCACGGCTTAAGGCGCATTAACGGCAATGTGAACGTGTACGGTCAAGCCATTAAAAGGCTTTTCTGATCCTTTAAGTTAAAGAGATCTGGCATCATTTACCCACCCTCATGTCCAAACCTGTACGACTTATTTTCTCAAGTATGTTGGAAACCAAATCATTTAAGTGTCCACTATTTGATCAACAAACATCTTTTGTGTTCCACAGAAGTCAGTCAGAGTTTTGAAATGAGTAAATGATGACAATAGTCATTTTTAGGAAAACTATCTCTTCAAAAACAGGAGGAGGTAAGAGGATGGTTGAAGCTTTCTTCATGGAAGAATTGGAGGTGTTTGTGGCTAACGGAGCGCATGCTTTCACTTACGTCTCTTGACTACTGTAGTAAAAAAAAACGGATATTTCGAGCATTTGATGCTAGGCGCCATGCATTTTAAAATCTTCATTATAAACCTCTTTAAGGCGAGACACGGCAGGCAAAAACATAGTTTTTTTTTTTCACTGGTCAATTTTGAGATATTTGTCTTCAATAACGTCTTCTTTCAAACTTGTGGTGAAAAAAAAAATCCAAAATACACATTTAGGTCTTTATTTTACTACACTTTGTCTGTTTGCGTCTGTAGATTTCTCATAAATTCTTCAAAGTTGTCGTTATAAATCATCCTGCTGCTCAGCGATCGCGTTCTGCACCCTGTCATCACACACACAATTAGAAATCTCTCTATTCTCCTGTACAACGCTGTCAGATCCAAATATGGTCATTTCCTTTTTAACAGCAACCAATCGGGAAAGTAAAATGGGGGACTTAACTCTAAATGCGCGATCTCATTGGCTGATGCTAAATCTTTTAAGCCAGTTCTGAAAATGACTTTTCTCTCATACTCCAAGTCCAAAATCTCCACTTCAGTAGCGCCTATATACACCAAACTTTCCAGTCTTGTACCTAGTTATATTCCAAAGACATTTACAGAAGGATTTGTAAACATATTATTCCTAGCCTGATTTTATTCCAAAAAAACATGGCGAAAATAATTTTAAGGCAATTGGCAGTATATTCTAATTTACAGGATAACAAAAGTAGATATCCATAAATCCCTTGCTAATTTTTTTCTCATCTAATATGTGAACACAATGAAAAAAGAATTTTGAACCTGGCTTTATCCAATACACGCAAATTAGTGCATTTAATTAGATAATGCCTCATTTGCATATTTAAACATTAAATTACAGAAAACTTGTAATATATTTTTTCTCATCTTAATGTAGGTAATCAACTGGGAAAGTTTCATGATGATATCTGCTAGTTAAAAAAAAAATGACCCTATTCACCTGTAGTGTCTCGCCTTAATGTGGGAAATGTTTCACTCACAGGGGCGCAGGAGAGTTGCTATCAAAGTGGGAAAGCAGGATAAAGAACGATTCCTACAACCAAAAATAAGTTATCTCCACAGTCCACACACTGACATTTTAACATATTGCAGCCGTCCCTTTTTGTCCCCTAATATCATAACACTTAATGAGGTACAGCATATCGACTTCCCAATCCATCAAGCATGGTCCTAGAGTTTCTCCACTCACTCAAAAGAAATTCAGGTGGGTTTTAGGTTATAAAAGGAGCAAGCAGGATAAAACAGTATTTGTGCGTTAGGGTTTCCGGGCGCCCAGCCTCTTAAATACACTGACTTCCCCAGCGTCCATCTGAGCCCCGTGAGTGTCACCTGTGCTGCTACTGACCTTAGGGCTGGCCAGAGCGAAGCTGCCCTGGGCTTTGCTCCTGCTACTCGTGACTCGACTGTCCTGCGTGTCTGCAGGCTGACTGACTAGAGGAGTAGAGGAGGTAGGGTTGACTGACGGGGCCTTTCCCAGTCTCTGCAGCACACCCAGTTTAGGCGTCCCCTCCTGGATGGAGGAGGAGGAGGTAGAGGATATAGGTGGTGTGCCTTCAGATGGGGGGAGTTTGTACTTGGCGCCCAGTCGACGCAGCGTGAGTGGTTTTGATTTGATGTTTACGGTCTCTTTTTTAGAAGAAGGTGGAGGTCGTTTGAGGACGCCGGCATACTGCAGCACTGAACCTTCATCATCGCTTTCATTGTCCTCGAAGGAGTCGGTGACATTAATGGTCTTCTCTCCACCCTCTTCATCCTCCTCTGCTTCACCCAGTCGGCTAAACACACCGGTTGGCTGCTGCACGACAGGACGACAACAGAGTTATTTGGTTGAAACGCTTTATAATTAGTTCAACAAACAACAAATAATACTCTTTTGAATACCTTATTCGATAATGGCTTCATGAATTGTACCAAATGATATAATCCCATATACAGAGGCAGACACAGTCAGTCACTCCTCGTGTTTGCTGGATAGCAGCTGATCCAGGGGATAGCATGATATTACACATAACCCTCGAAAATCCTTACACTATAAACATAGTATCGGTAATGAGTGTGTGTGAAATAAATACATGAATGAAATGATGATGCACAGCACGAACGCAAATATATAAAGCTGCATTGCCGTCTTCTGTGTGTCTCTCAGAAATCAAGAGTAATATCAGCTTGATACTGAATCATACACATTTTCTACCATTATATATTATATTATATATTCCTTATAATTTCTTCACAATTATTGTATTAATACGCAGTGTAAAAGTTAGCAATTTTCAAACACTAAAAAAGAATATTTTCTTTCTTCTTCCATTTTATATAATCCTCTTGATATTAGCGACACAGCAAACAACAAATTTTAGTTTAGGGGTAAAAAGAAGTTGGAGATAGCCTTAACCCTCAAACCGTATTCACTTTATAGCCCTTAATCCTGTAATTGTGGACAA